TTTTTTTTTGGTTTTTCTCCGGTACCGGGAACCGAACTCACGACCTTGCGCTTGCCAGGCAGGCGCTTTGCCACTGAGCTAAATCCCCAGCCCCACAATAAGCATTTGTTAATTTTGTATTAAAAATGTTTAATTAAAAAGTAGAAACACATAACAAGCTCTCAAAAGGAAGCAGTTGCAACTCCTGATACAAACTTGTTGAGAAAAAGGTCAAAAGAGCTTAAGACAATAGCCACCACCTTCCCCCACCTGTCTTTCATCACTGTAAATGCCAAAAGGCATCTGACACCCTAACTGAATCATGACTAAAGTCTGGGAGATTGGGACTTTGAATAACAAAAGATCACATGGCAAGTGCAGTATTAGCTACATTACAGGTTGCAGAACTTATTTTTAAAACTGTTTTACTGAAACATATCATATTTATAAAAAGTAAATGGCATTTCTTAAAGTAAACTGAACATGTATCAAAATCATACATTTTAGCCAGGTGTGGTGGTACACACCTATAATCACAGGACTCAAGAAGGCTGAAGCAGGAGGTCTGCAAGTTCAAGCCTAGACTGGGTAATTTAGTGATTTAACTAGAGCCCTTTTCAAACTTTTAAAAGGGAAGAGGGATGGGATGTAGCTCCATCTAAGGCCCTGGATTCAATCCCTAGCATCACAAGAAAAAAAAGTGTACATTTTGGTAAAAAAAAAAAAAAATATATATATATATATATATGCCATATATATGCCATCACCATGATCAAGAAGTGAAAACACATATCATCCCAAATTTCTTTGTGCCTCCTTTGTAATTCTTCCCCAGACTTTGACAACTATTGATCTGGACACAAAAAGTTTGAGTTATAACTGACTTATTTTGTAACATAATAAAAAAATAGACATTTCTGGGAAACACTTATACAATACTAAACATTAACAAGTACTTTCTTCTAAACCAGAGTGTTTTCTCAATTTCAAGCTTAATCTGCCAATCTTTATCTAGTTAAAGCTCTATAGCGTCCTACTTTGCTCCTGAAAATAGGTTTTAAAAGGTTTATATTTTCCCCATACACAATCTGTTTTTAACTTTGTTTAAACCAAATAAATATATTCAAGCATGTAGTCTATTCTAAATTATATACTTTACAGTAGATTATATATTAATCAAAATAAATCTACCAAAACAGGTAGAATCACACTAAGTGAGATCAAGATATTAGGCTATGGCTTAAAAGCAATTCTTCAAACCAACCTTATTTGGCCTCAAATTTTCCTGTTTGTTCCCTGCAGTCCTGAGGATCCAGCCCAGGGCCTCCCACACGATAGGGAAGGGCCTTACCACAGAACTACACCTCCAACCCCTCCAATTTTCCTTTTAATAAGCTCTACTGCTTCAGTTGATAATAATGGTAAAATTCATTTACAGTATTCTCATCATTTTCAACAATCATTGTCATATGTCTAATTTATTCAAGAAAGGTTTAAGAGCCTAGTATAAACCAAGCTCTGATTGCAAAGGATGCAATAATTATGATCTCCATAAATTATAAAAAAGTTAAATTTTAATAGATTTTAACCATTCCCATGTTCAGTTATGTTCTACCATGACTTTCTCAACCTCTCTGCCCACATACACACATCTTTGCTCCAGCTTTATGACTAAAAGCAACACTACTGAAATGATTTGTTCTTTAACACCTTTGCATAAACCAATGGAAGCTCTTTTAACCTTAAAAATTATAGTTCTTCAATAACATTTGTACAACACACATTCTAGCAATATCTTGTGTACTGCTATACTGCATTTTAGCTTTACTAAAATATTTCACTTAGCATGCTCCCAATGCCAGAACATTGCTAGGAGATTCTCAAAGGAGACACCTGCTTTCTCTAGTCATCTGCCCCCTTATCTTTCTTGCCTCTATGCCTAGTAGCACAGCTAGCCAAATAACAGTAGAATAAGAGACTAAGGGAGATGCAGATGTTCTCACAAACCTAAAACAGTTGCTTTAACCTGTAGTGAAAAGTCAAGTGCTGCACAACGTGGATCCAAAGTTACTCCAATACTCCTTTCATTCAGAACATATTAGAGAGATTCCTCTGATATATCTCAGGATTTTAAAAATCAAATTCTCTTTGAAACATAAAAAGTATGTGAATCAAAATATCCATCAATTCATTCTCACTTGTTCTTTCTCACTCTCAAATATTTCCTGTCGGGTGTCAGCAAGTCCATTTGAATGAGCCATGTTTTGAAAACAGATGTAGAAATCAACAGGACAATATGCACAACTCACTGTCCTCTTTTGAAATAGTTCTTTGCCATCTTTCTTTTTCTCCAGACTCTTGTGCCTTAAAGTTAGTCATTTAAAAAGTATTTTAGATGTTTAAAGTTGTATCAACATATTTATAAAAAAACAGTGGGGCAGTTAAAATTTATTTGGGTCAAATCAATCTACCCAATTGCCAATTTTCTGACTAATGCAGAATACCAGTGAGTCTTGACCAAACAGAAATAGTCCACGGCTCTCCAGTCAAGATGCCATTGATGAACGTTCAAGCATCTGACACATCATTAAGTCAAACAACATTTTAAACACTGAGGCTGACCAGATGCTCTGATCTTTGAATAATTTCAAAATCATATCAGTAAAACTGAGAGGCACTCATTTTGTAATAATGGGAATATAGCCCATATTTTCAAATTAAGATGGTCAGAAAGGGCATATTAGGAGTACGGGGGCTTTCTGGACAGAAAAGACAAGACTTATGGAGATCCACAGCTACTCACTAATAAAAAATTTGCAACAGTGAAATATTAGGGTCCAGCATGGTGGTGCATTCCTGTAATTCCAGCACTCAGAAGGCTGAGGCAGGAGGATTGTTGCCAGGCAGGAGTTCTAGGCCAGCTTGGGCTACAAAGTGAGCTCAAGACCCGCCTGAGCTGCATAGCGAGACCCTGTCTAAAGGACAAAAACAAAAGAAAACAAAACAAAATGAAATATCAGGGTCCTGTGAGGGAGAATCTCTTCTATTACCACTCAAGGAAACTCAGCTGTACAGGAGAGTTTGGGGAATGTTAATCGTGAAATGAAGAAACTGGATTTATGCTAATTCAGCTCTTCAGGCAACTTAATTTCCTGTTTTCTTTTCCTTATGTCAAAATGTCATCCTAAGGTTTCCCTTATGTGATAATGTTTGTGAAAGCAAAGCGTTTTTAGTGTTTTTGAGGCTAAGAGAAAATACATTAACTTTAAAACAAGGTTTGTGACTTTGAAGATACCAATATGTAATACAACAAGCATTGTTAATTTCCTACCACTTTGTTTGTAACTTTGTATTGCCTGTACTGATCTTTTGCTATTTTGTAAAAGGATGTCTGTCTGTTAAGGTTTTCCTCCTTTTATTTTTAAAATAAAAAAAATAAAACAAGGTTTGTGTTAGGTCTTTCAATGTAAATGCATTTACATAAGTCCATGTTAGTGTGTACAGGCATCATCCTATCACAGCAAGGAAGAAGTGATTTTCAAACTATATGCTTGTAATCTTAGGCTGATGGTGGAGAATCCCAAGTTCTAGCCAACCCTGAGCAATTTAACGTCTTAGCAAGACTCTATTTCAAAACAAAACAAAAAAATAAATAAAGAAATAAAAGAAGGGTGGACATTGTAGCGTAGAGTGAAGGCTTTGGGCTCAATCCTCAGTGCTTCAAAAACAAGACAAAGCAACAACAAAAAATTATAAGCACAAAGTAGTTGGCAGACCTGTCTGACCAGTCTTTTAGTCTTTTGTCCTTTCTTCAGCACTTTGTTGAAAAACACCTCTCTCCAGACACCTTCAACCACCAGTGCTGCTTTATACTTCGGATTAATTTATCATAATGCTACATTAATAGACTCACAGTTTTCTCTTCTTCACATGAAAAAGAAAGGTCACTATAGAGTTAATGCAGCTGAGTACCTTCCATACTTCTGCCTCACTCATCAAATAATCAGTGTATTTTTTGTTAGTAATGCATATCATGAAGTTACAGGCTCTCTCACCAGTCTGAAAATACCAGCAAAATTCCCACCCATTAGTCGCCACCTACAGGGGAAAAGTAGTCCTCACATGGAACCGTGCTTGTACTACTAGAGTGTTTCTGAAAGCAGCAGTATTTCCCAATCTGTTAAAAATCTCAAAATGAACTTATTTGAATACAACCCAAGAATAGGCTATTACCTGATACCTTGTGTCGAAAATTCAATCAAGGCAGGAAAGATCAAAGAGGCCACAATTCACGGGTACTCTTCATTAGGAAAACACTGCCAGAAAGAAACAGTTACAAGGTCAAAAATGGATGCAGTGATTTAAAAATACGTAAAACAACTATATATTTACTGTTTCCGGTGTGAAAAGCATGAGACATTCACACAGTTGTACCTATATACCATCACAGTCTGGGTTTTGCAACTGTTTTTAGTTATTAATTGATATACTCAGTACATTTCTGACTTTTCATGCCTACAGAAAGTTCTTACAAAGGCCAGAGATATAGCTCAGCGGCACAATGCCTTGCTTGGGAAACGCAAGGCCCTGAGTTCGATTCTTGGTCAAAAAAAAAAAGAAAGTTCCCATAAAAATTTTACAGACGGAAATTTTTATGGAAACTCTACAGAATGTAACCACAGATTTGGTTAAATAGTCCCTCTCCATTGGAATTTGTGATTTCCTTTTTTTTTTTCTGAAAGAGGACTACTCTTCCCAAAAGAGTACTACTACTCTAGACTGCTACTATAAGAATGAACATTATAAGAAATATATGTACCAATCTCACAGAACTATTTCCTCCAGCTCCCTGGACAAGATGGCAGCTCAGTGGTTGTGGAGACTGCAGACTGATGTTTCCAGTCTTCCCCGAGGCCGGTCCGGAAGTCCTGACTTGGAGTGATGAGGACCCCTACTGGGCGTTAAGCGAGAGTGCTGTACAGGCTTTAGTAGCGCTCCCACCGGGGAACTGGTCACTTCCATAGGGGAAGATGAAAGCCTGGCGCTGGATACCGCATGCTTCCATAACCTGAAGAGTCTGGGCACAGAATGGACTACACCTTGGGAGAGTCTGCCGAGTTATTGCCAGAACAACATATTTCTAGTTTCCAAAGGTGTTGCTGGAACAGACATATTTCTAGTTGTATGAAGTGCCCTGGACACCATTCTTGTACCTCATTACTAACTTCAGTAGTAGGCATTTTTCACTAAGCTGGAAACCACCTTGTTTGAGTCTAGAACTATTTCCACACTGTAATTGGAGACATCCAAAGACCCAGACATGCTTGATCCATCTCTCTAGTTACATCATGAACTCTGAGAGACATGAGCCTTCATCAAAACAAAGAAAACACCAAGTCTGTGATAAAAAAAATTGGGAATATATATGTAATCATAATAAAGAAAATGCGAAGACCCTGGGAAACAAAAATGTCGATTCGAAATGTGAAGACAGGGGCTGGGGATTTAGCTCAG